CCCCCCAAAAAAAAAAAAAAAAATTATTAATCTCTTATAGATTTGTGGATTCAAGTACCGCTTGAACCATATTTTTCAAATTTGAAATACCAATAACCAATTCAGAGAATTTGCAAAATTATATATGTGATAACCATTTTCTTTTTGTAGAGAATTGGGAATCAATAAAAAAGTTCACCGAGAACTTTGACCATACGCCGGGTGTCTACAAAGACATAATTGATGGAAGTATATATCAAAAGCAATATACGGAAGTTCGGAAAACCGGCAGCTTTCCAATCACCATTTACTGGCATCTAGATGGAGCCCCTGCATTTCGATCAAACAGCATCTCTCTTTGGCCAATTCAGAGTTTTATCGTTGAACTTCCACTGTCATTACGATATTCATACAAGAATATTCTAATGTCAGGAATTTGGTATGGAAAGAAAAAACCAAATATGGAAGTCTTTCAAAAGAAATTTGTTGAGGAAGCAGCTTTGCTTGGAAAAGGGTTTACGATGTCGGTAGAAGAGCAACATGAACGGAAGTTTAAGCTTGTTGTGAATGGCCAAGTTGCCGATTTAGTGGCAAAAGTTCCATCAGTAAATTTTATACTACACAATGGGAAGTTCAGTTGTTGCTCATGTCTCCATCCTGGAGAAAGAATGCCTGGCCGTGGTAACAAGCGTGTTTATCTGTACTCGCCCAACACCTTTCCGCGTCGTACTCATAATGACACCTTACTTCACGCACAATTAGCTAATGATACCCGAGAAACCATTTTTGGAGTAAAGAGTCTTTCAATAGTGCATACAATTTTAAACATCCCAGATATGTTGCTGTTTGATTATATGCACCAAGTTCTTGAAGGCGAATTCACAAGACGCATGACCAAATGGCTTGCTGGATCATGCGGAAGTGGTGTCAATCTAAAGCCGTCCATAGTAAGTTTGAGTCAAAATCTCAAGGCCATTGGTTTACCTCACGATTTCAACTGAAAGTTGAGGCCTCTTGAGGAGTTCAAAAGATGGAAAGCCAGCGAAAAGCAGACCTTCTTTCTCCACGCAAGTCTAGCTCTTCTAAAAGGCATTCTACCACCAGAAATTTTTTACCACCATTGCCTGTTAGTTACTGGTGTGCGGCTGTTGTGTGAGTATGACATCACAGATGACCAAGTCGCCATAGCTGAGGCCATGCTTCTCAGCTGCACCAGGATGTTGCCAGATTTGTATTGTCTTTTTGAAGCAACTTTCAACTCCCACGCTTTGACACACCTAGCAGAACAAGTTAGAGGACATGGCCCTTTAATTCTCCATTCTGCGTTTATTTTTTAATCAATGCTTGCCCACCTGAAGAGGTTGTTTCATGGTACTCGCGGTATTCCTGACCAGATATGTAAGAAGTTGGCCGTTGCACAACATGCAGAACATAGTGTATCTAAAGCTCTGGAAGGTAACGCCAACGCCAAAGAGTTTGCTGACAAGCTGTTGAATTCTAACCGTTTAACAGATATGATCAAACTTTCAGATAATATATCTTTCTTCGGGCCCCTTCAACCTCTATCTGTTCCAGTAGACGAAATTCAAGACTTTCCACTCGAGGCAGAAAACATTGCTATTGCACAGCGAATGACCAGAAGATAATGAGGAATATTTTGGTAAAGTTAACTTTTTTGTCAAACAAAGGAACACTGGCTTTGCAGTGGTTGAAGTGTATCGTAGTTTGCAATATAATATCTGCCAGAATGGTTTGCCCGAGGCAAATGATCCCGTCTTAAAAGAGTTTTGTTCGTCTGGCTATCTTGGGTGCCATTTTGTAGCCGTTGAGAAGACAATCCAGCTGAAATTCATCAATTGCTCTTGGATTGTGTCGAAGATTGTTCTTGTTAAGTCTAAAGAGGATAATGTCCATGGATTTGTGTCTTCTGTTCTTAAATGTTATCAGCACGACTGAAAGATACGAGCATGCAGGAATATTATATCCGGTAGTGTGCGCTGCATTTGACTTAACATTTTAACACTTCAATGGAACAGGTTAAAACTCGTTAATAAGATGATAACTTTCTTAAATTACTAAATACTTAACAATGGAATATTTAAATACAATAGGTAGAGGTATTTGATGATTATCTCAACGAAAATTGTCACTTAAGTCTGTTGGTAAATTTGTTACTTTAACTTAAATCGTGCAGGAAAATGACACGGTTCTTGTAAGTAATTAATAGCTCTACAAATCAATGCATCAAGATATCGAGTATAGAAAGTTGTAGTCTGGAGTAAATCCTGTAAAAACATTGTTGAAACAAAAGGATTTCTTATAAGAAAATGCCTAGAAGTTATATAAGTATAGGTATTAGCATAGAAAATGTTTGTCACATCATAAATTATGGAGAAAAACGTAAAGGTCTGGAAAATATTCATTTGCCCCAGCTGAGTCTACATAACTCTTTCTAAGGTATCTCAAAGTTTTCTTGACTATGAAAATCAGTTCTAAAAGGGGTATAACCACCTTAAGATCCTGATTAAATCTTGTAGGAATTAACCTTTAAGATCCTGATCAAATCCTGTAAGAAACCTTCAAGATCCTGATTAAATCTTGTAAGAAACCTTTTATATCCTGATTAAATCGTGTAAGAAAACTTTAGGATCCTGATTAAATCTTATTAGAAAACTTTAAGATCCTGATTAAATCATGTAAGAAAACTTTAAGATCCTGATTAAATCTTGTAAGAAAACTTTAAGATCCTGATTAAATCTTGTAAGAAAACGTTAAGATCCTGATTAAATCTTATAAGAAAACTTTAAGATCCTGATTAAATCGTGTAAGAAAACTTTAAGATCCTGATTAAATCTTGTAAGAAAACGTTAAGATCCTGATAAAATCTTGTAAGAAAACTTTAAGATCCTCATTAAATCGTGTAAGAAACCTTTAAGATCCTGATTGAATCTCATAAGAAAACTTTAAGATCCTGATAAAATCTTATAAGAAAATTATAAGATCCTGATTAAATCTTGTAAGAAAACTTTACGATACTGATTAAATCTTATAAGAAAACTTTAAGATCCCGATAAAATCTTATAAGAAAATTTTACGATCCTGATTAAATCTTGTAAGAAAACTTTAAGATCCTGATGAAATCTTATAAGAAAACTTTAAGATCCTGTTAAAATCTTATAAGAAAACTTTAAGATCCTGATTAAATCTTATAACAAAACTTTAGGATCCTGATTAAATCTTATAAGCAAACTTCAAGATCCTGATAAAATCTTATAAGAAAACTTTAAGATCCTGATTAAATCTTATAAGAAACCTTTAGGATTCTGATTGAATCTTGTAAGAAACCCTTAAGAACCTGGTTAAATCCTGTAAGAAACCTTCAAGATCCTGATTAAATCTTGTAAAAACCTTTTAGATCCTGATTAAATCGTGTAAGAAAACTTTAGGATCCTGATTAAATCTTATAAGAAAACTTTAGGATCCTGACTAAATCTTATAAGAAAACTTTAAGATCCAGATAAAATCGTATAAGAAAACTCAAGGACCCTGATTAAATCATCTAACAAAACGTTAGGATCTTGATTAGAGTCCATTACAATCAGTTTTGGATCATGATTATATCTTTTAAGAAAATTTTAAGATCTTGATTATATCTTTTAAGAAATTTTAGGATCCTAAATAAGAAAAGATCTTAAATAAGATCTTAAATAGGATCTTAAATAAGATCTTGTTCCTAAATAGGATCCTGTAAGATCTTATAGGATCTTGTAGGATCTTAAATAAGATTTCTACCAGGGATAAGTCACCCTCCTTCCCCCAAACAATGTTTATATTACATTGTGAATCATTACGCTGAGTAGGTTTGTCAATTGCAAAGAACACCATCACTTCATGTTTTAACTTAGCTAACCAACATTGTAACGTGGGAGGGGGACAAAACAGCAAATCAACCGAGGTGTTTCATTAGTTTTTGCCATGATTGTCTGAAAAAGCATCAAGTGCAAACATTCAGTTCCTGGCTTTTACAAAGGTCGCACACGGGATTGGACGTAATTGGACGCATAATTAAATGAAATAGATACCTAGGTTTTAATAAGGTTAATTTATGTTTGGTGGCCATGGAAACACATACTTGTATAATCAATTCAAGATGGCATCATCGAAACTGTTAGTGTACGTTGCCATTGCGCGATCAAGGGTAGTAGCGAAGTAGTTGTAGTTCGCTACTGTAGCGAACTACAATTTTCAAGTAGCCAGTAGTTTTTGACTACTTTTTCAAAACAGTAGCTGTAGTTATAGCGAACTACATTTTGCCTAAAAGTAGCCAAGTAGTTGACTACTTTTCAAACAGCAAATCGCTATTCGCTACTTTTTAAAATTGTTAGCAACTTGATAGAATAGAATGTTTATTAAGACACAGTTTGCTTAAAATCAATACTCAATTTGCACGAATAAAGTATGCCCGTGCAACTGTTCAAACTATGCAAGTGCATGCCGTCTTATTTACTCGCGTAAGTCGATTTCTTATAGGTTACATTACAGCCTGAGCTATAGTAGATGTTCCAAATACAGTAAAATTAAAAAATATTGAGTAGCGAAATAGCGAAATAGTTCGCTACATTTTTTAAGCAGTAGCTGTAGTCAGTAGCGAACTACTTTTGTTCAAAAGTAGCAGTAGTTGTAGCTGACTACATATTTTTGAAGTAGCTGTAGTTATAGCGAACTACAAAAAGTTTGTAGTCAACCCACCCTTGTGCGCGACAGTGGATGATGGAACCAAATTGATTTAAGACAGGTAAAATCCTAAATTTTTATGATAATATTGTCAATATGCACATAAATTCGAACAGTAAAATAATAAATTTTTTATACACCTATTTATGTTAATATAATGCACAATCATATCATAGAGATGGTTAACAAAGTGAGTGCCCACCGAGTGACGACGCGGCAATTGGCGACTATGAACATTCTTCATAATGTAAACAAACTGTCAATAAGGCAAATACATAAAAAGTTTCCCAAGTTTAGTCTTTCTACAGTGTTTCGTCACGCTGCACAAGCTTCAGATAACCTTCCCGAAAAGAAGAAAAAAAGTAGTCAGCCACGTAAAGTTACTGAACATGACGAACGGGAACTTATATGTGTTTTAAAAAAGCTTAGAAAAACTGATGGCTCTTTAACATCAAAAACATCTAATTAGAAGCTGGATTGACACACCTCTCGAACAGAACAGTCCGATCAATTTTGAACAAGCATGGGTTTAAATACCTGCAAACTCAATGCAAGGAACTGTTATCGAATGAAGATCGAAAACGAAGGCTTCAATTTGCACACAATATGCTTATATACCAACCAGAGAATGTTTGGACCAAGCAAGTTTGCTTTTATCGATACGAGCAGTTTTGTACACAAAACAAATCCTTTCAATCAGAGCCACAAAATAGAAATAGGGCAGAAGCTTCACTCGAGTCGGAACCTTTGAAGTTTTTGTGCTGGCACATGTTACTTCCGGATCTTGGCCGCCATGTTGAAAGCAACCAACTCTGGTCCAAAACATTATAAACTAATATGGCGAAACTTGTATTTCATAACTTTAAATGGGTATATCGTCGTTATTTTATGGTGGATGTCATTGAAATTTTCAGGACGTACTAAAGAAAGGTAGTTTATTCATTTTATTATAATAAAAGCTTTTTGAATGATGCTAAAATTGTCATTTTAAACGCATTGCGAACTGTATGTGCTGTTTTGGCACCGATGGATATATACGCATTATGTTATTTTTCTGAGTGTAGCTTGAAACTATTGCAACTACTATTCAATTTAGCTTAAAGAAAAATGCGTCATGTCTTCTTTTTAGAACGCAGTAGGTTGAATTTTTTAAATTTTAGGTGCATATTATACTGTGAATATCTTTATAAT